TGCTCCTTGATTTCTTCTACTCCGTTTACTCCTAATCTGTTTTTGGGATTTGACAATAACTTTTTAATCAAATCTTTTGCATGGCCTGATATCTCGACATCATCGGGAAAACTGTAAAGTAAGAAAAAAAACTTTCACAGTGACAGAGACACTAAATAAGTAAAGTGAAAAAATAGGGGAAGGAAAGCTGTTAGTGGAAAAAACAAAAAGATATAGATTTTGAACATACACAAGTTCCGTAGCATAATGCTGTATCCTATTGTACGTTGCCGCGAGAGAATCTGCATAAAACGGAGTTTCCCCATAAAGGAGCTCGTACAAGAAAATCCCAACGGACCACCAATCAACTTCTGGCCCGTAAACAGCTTCCTTCCCATGTAAGTTCAAAACTTCAGGACTTAAGTAATCGGGCGTACCAACAGCTGTTGAGCACTTAACTTTACCATCCTAAATTCATGAACAATAACACCTCGTATCAACTCGACATTATAGGATGAGTAAAGTATAAGAAAAGCTAACTAAAAACAAAATTTTCCAAAAACAAAAAGAAATAAATACCAACTCAGAACTGATCAAAGAGACTCACTATTCCAGTACGCAAGCAAGTTCCGAAATCTGCAAGCTTAACATGTCCTGACCTGCTAACTAACATGTTATCTGGCTTTACATCACGATGAATATATTGCATCTTATGAAGGACATCCAAAGCCATAACTAGCTCAGCAGTGTAAAAACGAGCCCATTTTTCAGATATATCATAGCACTGCATCAAATTAACAAGATCACCTACATAAAGGAAAAACCATCACTGAGGGAAACTGTATTGTTGTTTCAAAGTTTACAAGACGCCAAAATAAATAAACCTCCAGGCATGTATTCCATAACCATATACAAAAAATTGGTGTCTTGAAAAGCATAGTATAAGTGGACGATCCAATCGGAATTAGCATGCGCCATGATGTCTCGTTCTTCCCAAAAGAAAGCTGCATCAGCTCTCATCAACTAAATAAAGTTAATCGTAGAAAGATTTGAAATTATTTCGTAAAGGAAGATAACGCACTACAAACCATTTCGCTTTTATTGAGAACTTTCATAGCGTAAACTTTTCGCGTTACTTTATGCCGAACTAACTGAACTTCGCCAAAAGAGCCGCGTCCAATGACTTGAATACACTGGAAATCAGACCCTTTCAGCCGTAGGTTTGTTATCAGTTTCACAGCATCATTAACTGCAACAAGTCAAAGAAAAATTAGAAAGAAGTTTAGCTAGAAATGTGTGAATTCCAGAGAAACAATCTAATTTCTTTAGTTTGCTATTCAAGCGAGTTTTGAAACTTATGAAAGCAATTAAGAACTGCTTTAAGCTCAAAAAATAAGTTTTAAATAACTTACATCTATTTACAAAAACATCAATATTTCGAGAACGACGAATCAAAGCATAACTGCAATCTTGAACAAATGCTACTAAGGCATCCTAAACAAATATTTAGGAATATTACTCTTAACTGGTTTCAATCCCAAATCGAAAAAGATTAAAAACTGTTTTCTTAAAAAAACAAAATCTTATTACGTCAATTACATTAACAGGGAAGTAAACTTCAATAAGACTGACTAGTAATGAGTCAATATTTAGGCGAGAACGAGGATTGAGAAGCTGCTCGGCAAGCTGAGCAACTTCTTCCATTACCACCTGAAAAAATGATATAGTTTAGCGTACCTTGAGTTTGGAAATTTTAGTAACGGAGTCCAAACGGATGCTGAAACCCAAAAATAATTCTCAATGCGAATAAACAAGTAAAAGAAAGTATTATTTATCAATCACACAAATATTTCGCATTGGTATAAACTCATTTATATTTATTCAAAAATCAGTACTTCGTCTTTCATTGTTTAATTAGCACTATCTTCACCTCCGTATTCTTTCCATCTTCTTACGCTTTCTTTGTTGCACTTCGTAAATCTCCCCTGGACACAAACATGGAAACAACAATGGACCTTAAAGTGGAACACGTAAATTGAAAATTTTTTGTATAAACCCACAACGTACTGGTAAAAATTTAAAGCGTTTAGTTGTTTAATTTGCTTTTACCACAGAAAAATACAGCACATTAATGTAGGAACAATAAGTTAATAAATGAATATATAAATAAAAAAACAAAAAAAGAGCAAAACAAAATCAAAAAAATGAAATCCAATTAACTTTTCATGCGGTATTTTGTTCGGCCTATATCCTCTACCGTTTCTCGGCCAAAAAAATACAAACAGTAACAATAATAATTTAAAACTTTAACAGAAACAAGAAGAAAACTGTATTCACTAAACTGAGCATAATTAACCAAAGGAGAAATTGTTTGAAAATAAAGCTTATAAAATTAAGTAGAAAAAAATGACTAATAAAACTACCTACAAAAAACTACCCGTAGTAAAACACATAAAAAAATATTACTGATAAATTACCCAGTTCGTTTTCCCTCAACAAAATATCTCAAACTTCGTTGACTGGGAACAATTTTAAAAAATATCAAAAAAAAAAAAAAAAAAAAAAAAAAAAA